GGGGGGGAAGCATGCCCAGGTGAAAAATAAGGGTTTGGGGCCCCCCCGGGGGGTTGGGCCGGAAAAAAGGGTTTTCCATCGGGTTGTCCCCCCCCCCCCCCCCCCCCCGGGGGTGAAGGCAAACGGTGCTGCTCGCCTTTTTTTACGAGGTGTTCAAACACAAATCACGACAATGCTAAAGCCAAAAAAACTTCCCTTGCGGTAAAAAAAAAATGTTTCCGTGCCTCTTGCGAGGAGGGGCAGGTTTTGATCGGTAAGGTGAGTTTCTGAATAGGGGGATCACCCCGCAGGTCAGCCGGTTCAGTTGACCCCCAAGTTAACCCTAAGCAAATGGAATGGGTGGTATTGGTTCAGATTGGCGTCGTCGACGACTCTCGAACTCTCTACACATGAACAAGCAGTCGAAGAAATCATTGGTAGATGAAGCGGGAACCAAGCAGAAACAGGGTGGTATGGCCATGATCTCTCCGTCCCGAAGTTGTTTTGGAAATTTCGGCGAAAGAAACGGCCGACCTCGGCTCCCTCTTAGGGGCGGAGAGATGGTCATGGCGATGCCGTCCTGTTTTTCCTTTTCGCCGGTGGATCCATCCCCTTGTTCCCTTGCCTGCTTTGTTGTTGTGTAGAAAGTTTGAAAGTCGTCGACGACCCCAAACGTTAGTAAAAGGGAGTGGATCGTCCCCGATAAGCAACAGACTTTGGGGGGATTACATGTACCCTGTTGCCAAGCAGGAAGGCCAACATGCATTTATTGGGCACACGAGTCTGACGTGTTGTGTCGCTTGACTCTCCGATTTGTTCTGTGCCTCCTGACGCGAGCAGCTCGGAGTGGTGCACTTCGCGTCGGGGGAGTACACGCAGGCCAGGGAACGGTTCGGGAAGGTTCTGAGCATCGTCGAGGGGCTATCCTCTCAGGTAAAAAAAGCGAAAAGGCCCCACGCGTGTTGCGTGATTCTTGCCTGCATTACCATGGTACTACACACCGTGCGTCTGGCAGCATACACTTGGCTCACATCGTCGCGATTGAGCTTGGCCCACACACGCTAACCTTTCCCTTCTCAGCAGCAGCAGCAGCAGCAGCAGCAGCAGCAGCAGCAGCAGCAGTAGCCTTGCCTGCGCATCAGTCAAGATCTTCCAAATAGCGTGCCAAGTGTGCCGCCCGCAAGAGGACTGACTCTCTCTATTTTTTTTTTCTTCTTTTTTTCAGCGAGCAGTATCAGGCTTCCCCTTTCGGGTGAGCGACAGGTTCACGCACGCAAAAGCGAGAACCGTGAAATGGTTACCTTCTACGCGTACCTACAACTTGTGACATTTCTTGGCCGCGACCCCCCCCCCCCCGTGCGTTGTTTTGTCTTGTCTTCCCTTTGTTGAGGCTCTTGAGGCGTGGGAGAGCACGGTGTTCAACCTTGGCCACTGCCACCGAAAGCTGGGCAGCCTGGACGATGCCGCGAGCTGCTATCTCAGGGCGAGAGAGCTATCGCCCCAGCGGCACTCGGTGCACTCCGCCCTGGCTCTTACCCACCACCTTCAGGTATCGCTGTTTTTTGTGCTGTTGTTGTTGTTGTTGTTGTTGTTGTTTTCACATGAAGGATCGTTCCGATCCCTACTCAGTACAGTACCTGGTAATATCCGTACTGGTCCGACTGACTTGGGCGCCTTCCGTGGTTGTACTATCCCAAAGAGGGTAGAACACACCTCTAGAAATGAAATGGAAAATGTGTGGACTATTTGCTGGTCGTTTTGCTCTGTTTTGAAGGAAAATATGATTGTGAATCCAACAGACAAGGACTATGCACCCGCCCTAGAAAAAGCAGTGCCTTTCCGCACTCGTATCTGTCGTGACGCCGCTTTGTTTTTTGGTGCGTTGGCTTGCGGTTGCCTTGGAATGGAAGAGCTCGATGTTGGATTGACTGGTGTTGCTGCTGTGGTCGGTTGTTGCTGTCTTCCGCGTTAGGCGTCACGCCCTATGTACGCAGGATGCAATACCTAAGTAGAGGTCGGTGCGCGTATCAAGTGTTTGTCGTGCACCTTGCGGCGGCTGTGCAAGGTGTGTGCAAGGTGCAAGACGCACTATGATGAGCGACAAATGCAAATCTCACCACATATTTTCTTTACCGCGCCCCCGTGTGCCGGTCTTGCGCTCTAAGCGGGCTGCAACACAAAACACAACGGTGCACGCAAGAACTGCTTCGTCGCGCACCTTACGGCCGTGCGAGCGAGGAACAGCGTGATGAACAGCAAATCTCGCCATCGTTTTTCCTTGCCGCCGCCCCCCCCCCCACACACACACACCTGTTGTCCTGCCCACCCACCCCCTCTCCGCTGCTTTCGCGGCGACGCGGACCCTCTGTTCTGGTTGGACCGCACGCTGCCGTGCCCCCGACACTGCTGCAACCGTCTACCCTTCAGGGACGGCACGACGACGCCATCGCCGGTTACCACAAGGCCTTGGGGCTCAAGCCTGACGACCCCTTCGCCGCAGAAATGCTCAAGAGAGCTCTACAGGTGCCCGTCGGATCTTTTTTTTTTTGTTCGCATGCCGCAGGGAGCAGGGACGGTTAGAAACCTTTTTTTATTGCTTTTCCACAGGTTCCGATTGCGGTCGCCTCCGATGTTGGTTACCCCGTTTTGTTACGTCCATGAAACGTATCCACTTGAAAATCGCGCGCGCATTGTCTGGGCGCACCCACTACAAAACTTGTTGCGCAAAACCTTGGTCCTGCCACGCCCCTTCCGCCACCTTGAGGTCTAGCCGGCTGCTGTCGTTGCGTCGTTCCTCCTCCTCCCTACCGACCGCCGTTCTTCGAGCGTCGCAGCGAAAATTTCCCGATGGATGGGGAGATATTGGTGAACAGTTGTCTTTCGCTTTTTTCCACGCATAATACTCACCGCTTCTTGTTCTTCTTGCTGTGCTCTCTTGCTGCTCGCTCTGTGCGAGAATCCCAGCGCCCACTTTCCGACGCGCGTGCACGCACACACACACAAAAAGCCGCGTTTGTGTTTTTCTTCGTTTCCCTCACTGCACGCACCGCTTCTTCAATATGCTTTGCTCTTGCTGCTCTTGCTGTTTCTTGCTCCAGGAATCCTTCTCCGCGAACGAGCCGTGCGCGGGCCTGGAAGAGCTCTTCTCCAAGACTAGCCTCGACACCAACGGCAACATCGTCAACGACAACAGCAGCAGCGGTCGTGGTCGGCATCAACAGTCTCGAGGCGGCGGTGTTTTACGCGGGGACGACGGGGCTCAGTTCACCCCGGGTTTGTCGCCGCGATCGGGCCGCAACGACGACCGGGACAGCAGCAGCAGCGTGGGGACCCCGTACGGCGGTAGCGGCAGGGGGGGCGGGGGGGGGGACCGGTCGTTCAGCTTCGGCGCGGAGACCCCCCGCACCCCTCGAGATAGCGGTGCCGCCGCTGCCGCCGCCGCCGCTGCCCAGAGCCCGCTGCTGGCAGAGAGCAGCAGCTCGAGGATGATGATGGGGGGTTGGCGGCTGGACGGGGAGGAGAGCGGGGGGGGGGGGGGCCCTTTTTTTGCCCCCCCCAGGGGGGGGGGGGCCGGGGTTCTGGTGGGGGGGGGGATTTAATTTTAGAAGCCCGCCCCGGGGGGGACACAAACAAAAGGGGGGTCCGGG